GAACAGTAAAAAATGTTAATTGGATACTCGAGGGAATATTTTTGTAACTTGTTATTATGATTATTATAAAATAATTGATATCAAAAGTGTTTCTTATTATAATACTCTGAGAAGATATATTAATCATCAAGAAATTATGATATAATTAAAAGGAATAACATAATTAAAGATCAACCCATTAAAAATTAGAAGAAATAACAACTATGTAATCTCTTTACCTTTAAGCTGATTTTAATAAAAAATTAGTTTCCAAAAAACTAAACCAGATTAATGTTTGCAATCTGGATTGATGTGAAATTAATCAACCTGTAAAATTTACATTTAAATTTACATATTTACAAATTAACTTTTCTGAAGAAAAAAGATTATGAATATATAATTATTTTTATCGATCTTTACAAATGTAAACATATTACTAAATATACATTCATATTGTAAACAACTTTTAAATATTCATCTCCATAAATACTAATTTGCCCCTTTAATCTTAGATTAATTAGCGTGTCCTTTACTTTCTTTGGTATATACTCATTCTTGTTTAAGATAATTTACATTCTTTATCCAACCATTGTTGTATTAGCCATTAAAAGGTGTGAGAATTACTGGCTTAATTCATTTCTTAAAATGGAAGAAGAATATTCTTCTTCAATTTATGGCAAAAAGTAAATAATTTAATCATTTAGATTAGTAGTTAAATTAATCTTATATTTATTTAATTTATAGTTTAGAAGAACTTTGCGTCGGGCTAGGTTTGGCACTTGTATGTGTTGATCTAAGATTTTTAAGATGGAAAAAAATTAAATCAATAACCAATAGAGAATAAACCTAATCTGATATTTAAATATAACAAATAGGTGCTTAGCATCATTAAAACTAGCAAAGTCTTTGGGTCAGATCCTTTAGTGGTTATTTATGATCTTGAACAGTGAGGCTTATTGCTTGGAGTGATAAAAACAAGATACTTGAAAATGATGCAATGAATGAGAAAACGTTTCTTTAGAAATTCTAAGATATTAAAGTTGACATTATGTCTCCTCTCACTGCATTTGCTGTTTTGAAGTTGAAAAAGGTTCCGAGAATGAGGAGGTCTTGAATAATATTGTAATAATTAGTGTGTGCTGTTTTGTAATAATCATATCTTAATATTAAATTTAGATTAGAATAATAGGATAGAGCCTATGCTTCTTTATTTTTTTCAAGTACTATAACATATAAACGATAATGTTAAACATTTGAGATAAAACTGAAATCTTTTTTTTTTCTAAGTATGTGATAGGATACAAAATTTAAAATAAAAATTTTAACTTACTATAGTGAGATATCAAATTAATTTGAATACAATAAGAACAACTAAAAGTCTTAGTTTATTATTTGAATTATATAAACCAGCTGCTTCCACAACTTATCCAAATTTATAGAGCTAAAGCAAAAAATCAATCAATATTCTAAAAACTATATTCTTTGATTTGAAAATCCTCAAGGATTTTATTTTAAGGGTTCTTTCACAACTGCCAAAAGATTTTTTAATAAAATAAACCGATGTACTATTGGAAATTAAATGAATTTGATTGAAGCTTTTAAGATATCATTATGAATACTGAGAAAAATAACTCTATTAATTAGATTATATTTGGGATGTATTATTCCAAGTTATATAATGAAAATATTTGTTGAATACTATGAAATTATTTTAAATCAATTTAAAATGATTGTAACTGTAAAACCAACCTTGCAATTTCCTTTTAATGATGTTTAATATTTGAAACAATCTGCAGTTGATGATTGTGGTTCTATTGCAATTCGCTTCCTATCTGAAGGAGTATAAATTTAACAATATTTCATAGAGTCCGATTCAATAAGTAAAGTATATTTACTACTTATCAACTTTATAAAGAGTTTATCCTCATTGTTTTTAAAGCAATTATCGAACTCTTAATGTTTTAAAGAAATTTCTGACAAATTGACATCTTCCCATTACAATTAATCACCAATAGGGATTAAATCTTAGTTAACAACTAACCTTTAAGTTAAATTTGTAATCATAATTACATCATCAATATTTTCAAAATTAAAATAAGGATGATATCCAATTCCATATTCAAGGTCTTGATTATTGGATATATTAAATTCTATTGATATCTAATTATCTTTAATAAATGTGTAAATCTCTTGAAAATGACTTTGTTACTATTCACGGTCCTTTGGTATTAAGCAAATCTAATTTTGATTCTCCTCTAATATTTCTCTCTCAGTATTCACATATAAGCCATGTAAAGGATAACCATTTGAATCATGAAATTTATGTTATACATTTTTATCACTTAATCGATTGACCCAAGGATACATTAAATAACAACCATTCTCTAAAACATCTTCAAATTCATTCCCTTCAATTATCAAATGGCCAGACATCCATAATTCTAGTATTTTGCCATTCTTCTAAACGATACTATTTTTTTTTTACATTATTTTAATTAACAAAAATGATGATATTTTTTAATTAAATGATATTTTATTGTTTGAAAAGTTATCACTTGTGGATAAATGGCTTCTATTTTCATAATTATTTATTTATATTTCTTTCTATCAATATGACAGTATTATTTCTAAACAAATTAAAGGATTAAAAACTAAAATATCAAAACACAAATAATTTAAATGTATCAAATATCAGATAATTTGTTAGTTAATAGCTAACTTAAAGAAAAATATTAGTGGCTTAATGAATTATAAGATCAAAATATTTCTGACTTCTAAATCAATTTATTTCGAGTTTGGTGTATGGATATAAGCAATGATTTAAGTTTGATGGCAGTTGGTGGTATTAGTAAAGATCATACTGTTTTTATTTATAATCAACATAGTATGGCCTTATGTAATTAAATATATGTGACTTCTCATTAAGTTTACCTGTTATTATTTTCTTAACAAGATAAATATTTATGTGCTGGCTGTTACGGGAAATAAATTCTTTTATGGGAAGTAGATGATATTAAGCAAATTTAAAATGCAAAATATAAAAGGGTAATTCAAACAGAATTTGGAGTAATTGCAAGAATATTATTTTTTGATAATGAAAGGAAACTATGTTTTTAGGGATAGTCTCATTTATTTATAATTGATTTGGAGATGAATAGTTAAGCAAAGATTATTAAAATCAATCATAAGCCATAATCCTTTGATATAAATCAATCCAAACTCTTTGAAGTTGGAAAAAGCAGCGTCATATACATAAGGGATATCTGTAAAGATTAAATTATAAGATTTATATGCTGTAATGTTTCTTAGCTCGATGAGATTGTAGTTTCAAAAAAAAACTACTTTCTGGTCGCATCAAGCCACCAAAATATATTCTGTTTTAATACGATAAATGGAAAACTCCTAAGAAAAAGTAGGATATTTGGGAGAGCTTAATCAATAAAGCTATCCGAGGATGATAAATTTTTAACTTTTGTTAGCATGCAGGCTTCAGTATAACTTGACTATATACACATTTTAAATTTGGAGACGGACCAGCTCTTATTAAAGTATGCAACACAACTTTCTCAGCCCACATTTATTAATAAAATGATGCCAAAAAAATTTATTTTTGGTAAAATAAACTCAATTGAAATATGGAACTTAATACTTTGAATAATCTTGATATCAAATTTTTTAATATCATAAAAAATCTATATGATAAATTAATAAGTATGGCAAGTGTATTAAATAAATTATAATTATTGTAATTAGTATAAAATTTCTTTCTTTTTTTAAAAATTCAAAATAAAAATGTCTTTTTCAGTTCTTTTTCTTCAAGTGTGAAAATTCTTCTTAATTTGCATGCTGATACAACTTGAGACTATTATTTGAAATATAACATTTTTCCATCTTTTTAGCTTTGATAACCTAGACATTTAACATTAGTATTCATAAAAACATTTTAATTTATATGTACTACATCCAAATAGATTAATGCGTAATAAAGCTTTTAGTCTTAGGTGTTTGCTATGGTTAAATGATGACATATTTTTAGTTAATTATTTCTATATAAGCAAATTCTCTAGGACCATAATGAGTTAATAAAATATAAAATAAATGTTTATCTAGATACTATTTTTAGTACTTGCATTATAAAAATCATAAACCAAATAGGTTAATGAATAGAACACACAAATTACATTCTTAGAAAATTAAAATTTCAAACAATAGGATCCATATGAAATCAATTATGAGGAGGAAGAACCATCAGGTAGTAATGTCTTTTTTTACTTTCACTAATATGCCAACTTTATTACTTGGGCAATTCTGGTCGATTTAGGCATAATAGCTAATAGATATGGAATACTAATATAATATAAAATTGAAGTGCACGCAATAATTATGACATTAGTGATTATACCTTCGGTCATAGCTGAATTTTTTATGATCTTTGCAGATGGGGAGCCTGAACTTTATGGTTAAGAAAGTTTAGAAGATATACATGGCCTGCTTGGTTTCTTTTTCTTGGGATTAATAATAGTGTAGGTAATTGGAGGCTTAGTATTAAAGTTTTGTATATTATCAATAAAGAAGTAGAATCATCTAAAAATAAAATCCATTTTGCATATTTATTTAGGATACGCTATATATATCTTTGGCAAAATTTAGTTAGGTTTTGGATATTACTTGTCCTATACGAATGCACCCAATGAAGGGTAAGGCAGTTTAACTTCATTTTGGTGTGTGTACTCTTTGATATTTTTTTGGAGAATAATATTTGAATTTTTGTATTAAAATGGAAAAATTTACTAATTGTTCAAATAATAGAAGGAGAGGCCAAGATAGCATTCGGGTACTCTTTAGGACTCATTATTAATCTAATATATTGAGTAAAATGGTATGTTCTTCGTTATTATTATTTAGAGCAATCCTAACTTATCAATGAATTTTAAAATAAATTTTGGGTGATTTTCAATAATGAAATTATTGATTTAACAGAGTTTGTACATCCAGGAGGTCAATATATATGGAATAAAGTGAAAGGTAGAGAAATTTCTCGATTTCTTTATGGTGGTTGCGGATTAGAGGATGAAACTGCCAAATAATATTAACATACTAAAAATGCAATAGTTTTATTGAAAAACAATGTTATTGGAACATTAAATTCAATAGCATTTACAATTCCTATTGGTGAAAGTGCAGAAAATACTGGCACATAATGGAAATTAAATACAATTACAATTTTAAATGATAAAACAAGCTATTTTGGATTCTTGAATCCGCAATTTAGAATAATATCACAATTCACTTCAATTCATTCATTTGGTAAGTATTTTTAACTAAAATCGCTTGAATCTAAAAACATTCCAATTAGATAGTACACATGTGTTTCATCTATGGCTCCAGAAAATGTTGAATATAGAAGGGAACTTGTACAATATGTTGAGTCTATTGTTAATAATAATTAATAAGCAAAAGCCCCACTATAACCTAAATACTTGAATGAGCTTCCAATGATAATTAAATATTATGATTCTTAGAATGGATTCTCAAAATATATTCATAATCATAAAGGTGAGTATTATGACATCCAGGGACCATATGGACCACCCCATGGTATTCCAAATAGAGGAAAAATTGTGATTATTAGTGGAGGCACTGGAATATTTCCATTTTTGGATCTTTTGGACTTTCTTTTGAAAAGCATTACTTACTCAATCACTTTGAATAAATATGGAAAAAAAGCTGCTGATAATTTGAATCCTTATGATTGTTAATTTAACACTAATGTTCATGTTACTCTATTTTTTGCAGTGGCTAATAGATCAGAATTAATTGGATCAGATATACTTTTTCCAATAATATAAATATAAAAGCATTTAGAAAAAGAAGTTTTAAGATTAATAATCAAAATCAGAGAAAAAATTGATGGAATTGAAACTATAAATGAAAGATATAGCAAAGAAATGTTTGGTAGAGTATTAGGCAATAATTTGGATTATTAAAGATATTTAATTTGTGGACCACCTCAAATGTAAGCTTCTGTTCCGCCAATCCTTCGAGAAATGGGTGTATAAGACCACCTTATTCATTTCATTTGAGATATTAATATTATAATATGCAACATCTTAAATTATCAATTCCTTCTTTGAACTAATCATTTTTATACTCTGGAAATTTTAATGAGATGTCTTATTAGCAATTAATAGCATATGCAGAAAGTCGATTAGGTCGAGTTCTACCTCCTGATTTCGAATTTTTCTATGCAAATTCCGAGGGCAATTAATTTGTTGTTGATAGTGATGAATAATTACGTAATTTAAAAGGCTTGAACCAGTAACTAATCAAAATCATTCTTAAAGAAAAAGATAAAGAAAAAATTTTTCATCCAAACACAATTTGCAATCTATGTCATTCTTCTCCAATTATGAATGCTAGGTATAAATGTATAGTTTGTGAAAATTTGGAGTTTTGTGAAAATTGTTTAGATCATGGTTAAGTTCATCCTTTGTTAATCATATATAAACCAGAGTAGGAGTAATTTTTTGATGGTTTTTTTAAAACATCTATGAATAAAGTGAAGAACTTATTCAATTGTTAATATAGTAATACTAAAAAATACTGTTATAGATTTAAAAGAAGCATTGTTGAAGAAGAAGACAGAACTATTTGGTACAAACAAAAAGGATCATTAATTATAATCGATTTAATAGGAAAATATATAATTGTAAAAAGAATAAGATGATTAAAAATAAAGTGAAGATGTGCTTAATAAAACATTAAGATTAAGTGAGGTATTCGAAGACTCTCCAGAAAATTTTGAAAATATTGTCAAATAAAATCAACACTTATCATTTGAAGAATTAGTTGAGCTGATATCAGATTAAATCTAATGAATTCATGTTATTTATTTTAATATTTAATTTAAATGTACAATTGCATAATATGTACTTAGGAAACTGATTTTTCATCAAAATGTGATTGTCACTTTTGTTTATTTTGCTTGCTAAATTGGTTTGATGAGAAAAATAGAGATAAACCTGTAGAAATACTTTAGTGTCCAAATTAAGGTTGTAATTACACATATACTCGAAATGAAATCTTAAGTTTTTGTTCTCTATAACCTTATGAGAAGATGATTTAAGAAATCTTGCTCAAAGAATATTTAAAAAATTAAGATATCCGTCCTTGTCCAAATGGAAAATGCAAATATTTTGGTTACATAGAATTAGACAATAAATGTGATGAAGAACTTGAATGCTTTGAATGCGGAATGAAATGGAGAGACTTTGCTTTGGCTTCATATACATTTTAAACAGAATATATGATAAAAAATATTTTTGGAATAATAAGAGAATTTTGCTATTGCTTTATTACTACTAATGAGTGTCCTAACTGTGGAATTTTAATACAAAGAAATGGTGGTTGTAAACATATAACATGTAAAGCTTGTGCACATCAATTTTGTTGGTATTGTAAATAATAATGGGGAAGGCATAAGGAATCTTAATGTTTTAGTTCAGAAGCAATATCAATTGGCTTGCTTCTAACTTTCCCTATCAATATTTTGCATTAATTTGGAATATTTTATTATTTTCTTTATGTTTTTTATCCTTTGTTATTGTTATTGGAATTGTTAATTATGAATGTATTAGTTATTGGAACCGGTTATGGGACATTCAGTTTGGTTAAATCAATTATTGATCTGAAGAATAATCGAAGAGGCATTTGCTCTAATCTTTTAGCTTTTGGAGGATCAATTTTATTGTTGATTATTGAATATTTAATCTTTTGGTTTTCATCTGTGTTTTTGGATATAACTTTTTAGAAGGCATTCATAGGTATTTTAATTGAACTTTCAATTGCCATTTTATTCATTGGTTACTTAAATAGAGTGAGTTTGAAATGGATTTTAATTCCGTTGCTTGCAATATTTTTATTATACTTTTTTGGATTTAATGGTTTTATCGTGCTTATTTGGTAAATTCCAGTATTAACAGGTTCAAGAAATTTTCTTTCATAAGTCGGATTTAATGCATTAGCTATTGGTATGCTAATTTTATTCAACATATTTAGTTTATTAGAATTATTTAGCTCAATTCTAATATATTTAATATTGGGTTCTACATATTTTTAATATAAAACAAATTACAACAAAAGTAACTTAGTATTTGTGGGAATTGTAGCATTATCTTACCTTTATGAATTAATATTTGCATGACTTATATTTTTCATCATTATTAAATAAATATTATAAAAATCTACTATTCATGTGAGATAGGCACTTTAGCAAATTGCATTTGAAATTAAAAACCATCCTCTTTGGTAGAACCATATATTTTAAGGTAATTTCACCTAACTTATGTTAGTCTAAAAGTAAATTGGTACGATAAAAAAGACTCAATCACCTAGATGAAATAAGAAAATTTTGAAGAATTCAAAATTTCAAAGAGAAAGGTTAATTGTTGATGGAGCATGTTCAAAGACATTATAAATAGAAGTAGAATTGGCAATTAAATAACATACTTAAATTTCCATCTGTATTAAATTGCTTAAGAAATTTTTGGTTGGAAAAGAGAAGCTGAATTTTTGATAGTTGAATATAAAATAGAACAACAAATTGTGTGGAAGGAAGCTGGAGATGAGTTACTAAATTATACTTCAAAGGAATCAGGATTCAATCCATAAAAGCCAATAATTCACACATCCTCATCAAATGTATTAATCACATCTGAATTGGCCAAAAATGAAGGCTATCATATTTATTCATTCTCTTAGATGCTTGAATAATTGCGTCAGAAAAAATTTGTAACAATTTTTAAGGAAAAATAAGAAAATTATGAGCTAGCCCATTACTAATAGAGAAGTTAAAGTTTTTATTGGTATAAAATAACAATCACTAGTGCTATTATAACAGTAAATCTAAGGCTAAGATGATTATGAAGAAGTATAAACCTAGAAAGATTGAAAGCTTTTGCATTTTTTTTAGTAAGTTGTATAAGTAATAAAAATGATTAATCACTGGAAGAATAGTAATTTGCTTCTAAAAGAAAAAAAGAGTATGAAGCATTTCTTAGTAAGCCAAAATTCTCTAAAGCAGATATTAGAGTTTAATTTCCTAATAGTTTAATTATTTAGGTCATCTTTGGTTCTTTGGGATCATTAAAAGTTTTATATGATTTGATAATAGATGTGATAATATTGAAATTCTAGATTATCCTTAGACATTAGATAATAGTAATCTTGATTTCTACTTTTATACATCACCTCCTCCAATTCGAATGACATAGAAGCATTTTAACCAAAACTTTTGATGACTTAAATTCAGTTCCAAATGGATTATTCTATTGTTGAGATGCAAAGCAAACTTCAAACTACCAATTGAAACAGTTATGGATGAAATGTGCTAGAGAATTATGATTATTTTAGAAAAAATCGTTTATATAATTAATAATTTTAAATTCCTAAAGTATTATATTTCATTTTCTTTTTAATATTTAAGCTAAGATAAGCCCACATGAAATATTGTTTTTACCAGATTTTAATTTTCGTATGCCTTCAAACAATTATGAATAAATTAAAAAAGCTAATAATAGCATTGATAAATCAGTTGAATTTATTGAAAAAACTTCTATTTATTAAAAATATTGTTTATGTAATTTATAATTGCAAATATAATGAACTAAGAAATTGAGAACATACTAAATAAGATAATGTTGAGGAAATATATAAATTGTATATTTATCAAAAACCTATAAAATATGATTTGTAAAACTACTTTTTATTCTAATGTGCAATAAACAACATTTTTATTATTTATGAGAATATTTTATTAATCTTTAAATCACTATGTATATGCGTATAATCTTTTATTCCTAAATCTTGTTTGGGCTTAGTATTTTTTTATTTTCAACTTGTTTGTGTTAATCTAATTGCTTTGATTTAATTTTTTTAATTAAAATAAAAATCAAACAAATGTAATTTATTGAAATCATAATTTAAAGGTATGAGGATAGTCCAATTTGCTCAATGAAATGCACATATTGGTTATTCAAAAATAATTTTTCTGATTTGCTATAATATTTGAAATGAATTATTAATAGACTTGATAAAATCACACTAAATATAAATATCACTCCTAAGGGTCAGGTCTTAAAAGTCTAGGAATAAATCCTTTTACTAATTCCACTATTGGTATTTTTCTTCCACCCTTGGGTTCATCATCATCATCTGATTCGCTTTCACTTTCTTATAAATCTTCATCAGCTTTAGTTTCTTTCTTGTTCTTTTATTCATCTAATTCATCATCTTCCTCAAATGCATTATTATTTTTTTGTTTTGCCAAATTTATCCATTCTTAATTTACTTTTTCTAGATCATCAATTTTTGAGATTGTTTCTAATTAAGTTCTGGTTTAATTCTTAAATGTTATAGAGCATATACTTGAATACAGTAAGTTTATCTAATTCTATTGATGATGTTTGTGGATAACCTAATTAACATTAAAATAATAAAATTAATAATAATGCCAATTAAATTGGGAATAGTTCTGTAATGCCAAATTAAAACCTTAAGTTGAGGAAGCTATGAATTTATTTGCCAGAAGAACTCAAAGTTTGAGAATAGTTCAAATAGATATAAACAATTAATATCAAATAAAATTCCTGATTTCTTTCAAAATATTTAGAAAATAAGAGAAAGAGTTTTCAATTTTAATAATACTGATACATCATAAACCCACATTAACTTTATATTATTTTTATTTAAAACAATAATTTATTGTATATAAATAAAGATGAAATTTATAAATCGATGTTTATTTAAGTTTTCTGTAAATGTAATTAGAGACTAAATCTATGAATTTGACAAAAGCGCAATTAGTTTAAGTGTTCGAATTAATAGCTTAAAAGATTTCAATGATTTTCAAAAGTTAAGAGACTTAAAAATACACCGAATTATTTATAATCTAAATGATTAAGCAGAACTAATGGACTTTTTGGCTTAGCATAATGATGAGAGCATAAAAAAAATATTTGATCCCTCCTTTTTTATATGTAAGTCTAAGAATATATGAAAAACTTAGTTCGTGGTGTTAGTGTAAATGTTCCTACAATACTAAGAGATGGTAATTTTAGAAAGTTAGAGTAGAAAGCATTATTATAGATTTGTTAACATCTATTTAAATTGAAGACTGATCAAAATAAGACTCAATTCTAAGTTTTTTTGGTATGTTGATTTATTTATTATTATGCATTAAAACATGATGGAAACATTAATTAAGAGGAATAGTTTTTAAGTTTAGTGAAAGAAGAGTTAGATGATTTATAAAGTGTAATAGAGAATTCATTCAATTTTGAAGTGAATCATGTACTTAGTTATAATCCAAAATTTACATATGATTTATTATTTAAATTGGCAAATCAACAGAAAACTTTGAAAAGTGTAAATTTTAACATTTACAGATATGCAAATCCTTAACAAAGTGAATTGGATTAGAATAGAGAAATATTGGCAACCCTTTATTAACATGTTAATGAGCAATACAATACAATATTTTTGAAAAACTTTCTTTATGAAGATAAATATGTAAAACAATAAAATTTGTCCGAAGGAATTGTTAGTTATTCACATGTAATAATATAAATTCTAATGCAATTTAGTTAGTAGATATGTTAAAGTTGATGCATTTCAGAGGTTCTTTGGTGTTTGAGTATAATAAAAATTTGGATAGGAATGTGGAATTCATAGACCAGTTGTTATAATCCAGCAAATACATATTGTCTGAAAAACATAAATTGGGAGAAGAGCATGAATCTCATATTGTGGATGGAGATACAATGCCACCTATTGATATTTGAGTTATATTTAAATATATATAAATATAATTCATTTATGATTGATTAGAAATCCAACTTAAAACTGTTCTAATAAATAATGTGCATTAACCCATGGATGATTTTACATGAATAAGGCAGTACCATCAGTTCCTACACCTTTCATGAGTTCTTCTTGACCTCCAGGATGTTTATTCAAGTATTTAGTAACATCATACACTTTGGAGTTGATGACAATCCATGCTGAATAAATGGTGTTATGTTTGGCTACCTACTCTCATTCGCAAAGTCATACCTCGTCGATTGTAAATTACTTTAAATCATTTTTCTTGTTGCTATCACTTAATGATTTCCTTTAGATCCAACTGGGGGAGACACTTTCTTTAGGAGATTATCCAAATTTTGGTGATTCAGGTTCATTTTTAAATTGAATTGGCTTCACTTCTTCAATCTTTAAAGAGTTTCTTTTTTTTGGCTGGATAACTAAATCATCGAAAATGCCTATTAAAGTGTCTACGTATTTTTAATTCGCCTTTTTTATTGCAGTTAGTTAGTAATCAACACTCTCCACTTTACGTGCCCCTTTATACTTCTCCAATAGTATACTGTCATTTTTGATTTTGTAAATGTTACGATTTAACCTCACTTCATTCTTAGCTTAGTCCACTTAATACCTTTGCTAAAGTCTTCACATCTTGTCTCTATGGTATTGTAATATATGTGTGAGGTCTTCTGAATTCAACTATCTGCTCAATTTCATAGTATTGATTCTCTTGATCTCTCAAAGAAAGGAGATCTGTTTGAAATTTTTGCTTTATATCATTTATAATGAATGTCACAACTTCATCAAGAGTCTCTATATCGACTTCACCTTCCATCCATTCTAAAGTATCCTATCTGTCTTCAATGTACAAATTGATTACCTCTTTATTATTCATAAATTATTAAAATCTCATGGGATATTCTAATACTAAAATTGAGGAACCTTTTAGTAAAAAATTGAGATCTAAAGCAATTATTAACTTTAATAAACTAAATATCAAAACAATGGAACTATAGATAAATAAGGAACGGCACTTTTATGGTATTAAACTCTTTTAAATCATTAGGAAATCTAACTATGCTAAACTAAATACTGAAGCATTATTTGAAGTTTTGGATTTTGATTAAACTGAAGATATTACTGAATGGATGGCTTTTTTGGATATTGTTAAACAAAATGGTTATTCTGAAGAAATATCAAGTTTTACGTAGTCAATCTATTATTATTTCTTAGTTAGATGAATTAAGGGAAGGTAAGGCTTGGGTATAATTTAAAAGAGTTGACAGATTTATTAAAATTGATGAGTAATAAAGAGGATCAAGAGTTAAATCAATTATCTAAGAAGAAAAGAAGAGGCTTTCAGTATTCTAACCAGCGCGATTACAAAAATGTAAAAAATGCATACTGAAGGATAAGAGTTATTTTAAGAGCAAGAACAATAATAATGATTATATCAATACTTATCAGAAGATTTTACTATAAATATTACAGTTTTTATTTTTGTAAATTAGTTGCAAATTGAAATATATTTATACATTTGTATTCATATTTTAAATCAAAGTTTCAAATATGCCAAATAAAATTTGATCGCTTATACTATGATTCATGAGTGGGTTAAATTATTTAGAAATTGGTGCAAATATTAAAGCTGAATAAATTTTGATATAATTTAGGATTTTAAAAAAGATATTTCTACATATTAATCGAATAAATTATAATATTATTCTTTAATATGTCCTATTAAACATTATTTTGATTGAAACAATAAATTTAGTAGGAAGTTTGATTCAACAAAATGTATGGTAAAATATTGTGATAAATTAGAATCATTTTTATAAGCTGAGGAAAAATACTTTCAGAAATATCAATAATTTTAATTCGATCAATTAAATTAGATTAAAATTCAATTGATAATTTAGAAATTAAACAATCAAGTTAATTAAATCCATAACAGTCTAAATATCATTCTTAAATTCAACATAAAAGTGCGAGTCTAGTTACAACAACTTTCTCAGAGCAATTCAATGTTTAAAATCATCACAATATTTACATAATAATAAGTTTGAACCAGTTAATTTTTTTTATATTAATAATCATAATTATAATCACTCATATTTTGTATGCTATATTTGTTATAATAATTCTTATTTTAAATTACACATCTTTAATCATACAATTGTTTATTTTTTTCATTTTTCATGATAAAATGTATGACATAATCAATTTTTTCATAAAAGAAACCATAAATGCTAAAAAAACAATTATTTTAAGTTGATGTCCAATATATTTTTAGTCTTTATCATTATGTCACTATTCCTTTAAACAAACAGTAAAAATCACTCTGAATAATCAAACAAATTTTTACAATCCAAATCTGAGGAAGAATTTGGTTTTGTGGCCCTTAACAATGAATCAGAAGATGAACATACTGCATTTTATTATCACAAATGGACTAATTTCATTGTTTGGGGAGTTTTAGCTGATTTCGGTATTCTAGCAAACAGATATGGATCAATGAGCAAACATAGATTAAATTTACATAGCATCATCATGGGTCTATGCGTATTACCTACTGTAATCGCAGAAATACTCATGATAGCTATTTGGAATCCACCTGAATTTTATGGTAACTTGAATTTAAGTTCCATTCATGCTCCCATAGGATTTACATATTTGGGTTTGATGATATTGTAGAGTACAGGAGGAGTAATATTAAAATTATGTATTGAATCAAACAATCCACAAAAATATACTAAAATCATGTCCATTGGTCACATCTATCTTGGATATAGCATGTATTTTCTTGGAAAAATTTAGTGTGGATTTGGATTCTATGAAGTTTATAGTAATGTACAAGGTAAAGGCTAAGGTAACTTAATTATGTTTTGGATTGTTTATGGTTTATTATTCTTTTGGAGAATCATTTTTGAATGGCTATATTAGAATGGAAAACTTTTTGAATATTTTTATTCTGCAACTCAAACTTCTGAAAAAACAGGGAGCATTTAAGATTCCTTATTTGTCTAATATTTAATATAAAATGGTATTATCAATCTTTATATATTTTTTAGATTAACTGAATATTGAAAAAGAATATAATAACAAAATGTGGTTTATTTTTAATAACAGTATTGTTGATTTAACAGGTTTTGTACATCCTGGAGGGCAATATATTTGGGAGAAAACAAAAGGGAGAGAAATATCAAGATTTATATATGGTGGATAAAGTTTAGAAGATGGAAACTCAAGGGCTTATACTCATTCAGATAAAGTAATAACTTTAATTTAAAGATAAACGATAGGTTATTTAAATGGTAATTCTATTGAAAATACAACTTAATAATAAATAAACAAATGGACTTTAATAAATCAATACACAATTTCTGAAAAAATTAGTCTTTTTGGATTTAAGAATTCATCAAAATAGATAGAGTCTTAGTTAACTAGTCTTCATTAATTTGGAAAATATTATTAAATAAAATCTTCAGTAAACAAAAAGATTTCTGTAAGACAATATACTTCTGTAGTAAGTATGGCTCCTGAAAATGTTTAATATAGATAGAAATTAATAAATTTGATTTAGGTTTTAAATTAGATCAAATCTGAAGACATAGAATAAATAAATTAATAACCAAGATATTTAAATGAATTACCATTAATTATAAAGAAGTATGAGTCAAATTTAGGTTTTTCTTAATATATCCATACTCATAAAGGTGAAGAATATGAAATTGAAGGACCATATGGGCCTTCCTTAGGGTTGCCAAATAAGGGTAGGGTAACAATAATTTGTGGAGGAACAGGAATATTGCCATTTTTAGATTTATTAGATTTTTAGTTATAATCCTCAATATATCAAATTGTAAAGAAAAAATTAGGTCAAAAAATGGCTGAGAAATTAAATCCATTTGAATGTTAATTCAGCAATGGTTTACATATTACATTGATTATTGCAGTAGCTGATAAATCAGAATTAATTGGGTAAGAAATATTTAAAAGTTTGATTACTTTATAAAATTAATTAGAAGAGCAAAGCTTTAAGATGATTTTGAAAATCAAAGAATAAATTGAGGGTTTTACTTGTGTAAATGAAAGATTTGATCAGAGTTTTATGAGATAGTAGTTAGGATAGTTGTCGTAATACGATAAGTTTTATGTGTGTGGACCTCCTGTAATGAATTAAACAGTTCCAATAACATTAATTAATTTAGGAGTTTAAGAGAAGAACATTCATTATGTTTGATTTGAGAGTAATTACTAATTGTTACAAAATATATATATTTTATTAATTTAATGTTCCTATTTTTATTATTATATTTGATAGAGAGTAGGCAGATTGAGAGCTGCAAGCAAAACATGGACTCCTTTCAGATAAAAGGTTTGAAAATGCACCTTCATAACTGTAGGGATTCATTTTTGTGTGAGTGACCATCATTAAGCTAAAGAGGCACGTAATTAGGTGTTGTAGGATTCTGTGAGCTAGAATAAAGTTAAAGCAATAGTGCAAGAGATAGAAAGTTTAGATAATCAGAATCCGTTTTGGTATTCAGACCTGGCAATATATTTGAACATAGATGAAATTCATATAACAGGGGGTTTAATTGATCATTCTTAGAATGTATAATAGATTATATAAAATTTAAGGTTAGTATTGTAAATCAGTAGATAAGAATTACCAAACATGTTTATTTTAAGAATTTGATAAACAAAGAACTTATGATAACAAATATATTCACTTCATCTCCTCTTTTAAAGGTCGATTTTGAGAAGATAGTTTTACCATCCAATTCAACCACTCAGAAAACTAGAGTTTGCACTATGATTTATGAGTAGCCACTTTCAGAAATTCGATCAAAGACATTTGAAATATGGTTGGCAATAGAGATAGCATACTTTTTAAGAGTGCCAATTAAATTGATTGTCTATGATAAACACTTAATGTGTTAAACAAAGTAATTAGGTCAATGTAGTATCTAAGGATAGCACTCAACAATCGAATTCAATAATCTAGGGATTTATTAATAATACACAAAAATATTCTCGTTTTATAATCCTAATCCAGTCAAAATTGATGTTTCTTATAAATAAAATGAAAGAAAAAAGAATTAAATAAGAGTATTATTGGCTAATCGAAATGATATCAAATCAGCTTCAAAGCGTAAATTTTCATTTGAAATGTAACCTTATACAAGAATTGAATTGAAAGTCATTATTAACACAAATTACTATGAAATATTAGCCAATAGTAAATTAACTTTTAGAACTTAATATGAAATTATTGAAGTTGATGTGACTTATTCAGTTTAAAAGGGATCTGTCAATTACTATCCTTCTGTAATTACATTAGATCCAGGAATGACAACAAAAGTTCAATAGTTTGATATTTTTGTAAGAAGTACTTTCAGTCAAAAAATTTAATTGTTATAAGTTGAAAATCAATAAATAAAGCACTAGAATATATCTTTACTTACAATGGCAACTAATATTCCAACTAATTCTAGATCTGACATTCTTCATGTGGATTATATGGGTAAATAAAATTTCTATTCTGATTCTAAATACCATAAATAGTAGGCAAAAGAATTATTGAATTCCTTTGGACGAAATAAGATAAAGATTTAAACTGATGTCTTGTAAGATTCTGAAATTCTAATCAATTATAAATCTAATTAAAAATTTAATGAATAAATCTTAAAGAAAATCATTAAATAAGATCCAAAGATATTAATATCTTAATAAACAGTTGTAATATCAGAATAACCCAATATATTTTTTATAGTCATCTCAATTCTCAATATGTTGTATATAGCTACTTTATTGAGAAACAATGTATAAAAAATAAAAGAGTTAAAAATTGTTATTGAAGGTAATTTTTCTTAAGAATAAATTGATTTTCAATCTATTTTTAAGACACAAGAATCTATTTAATTGTAAAGTAAATCTGAAACAAATGAAGTTGTATCTGACAAAGCAGATGAGATATAGGATATGATAATAGCTGAAGATATTATGAGTAAGGAGAACATCATTTATACTAATTTGTAATCATAGATTGATGAAAGTTCTTCTCATTTTAGTTAAGGAGAGAGTTTAGATGATGATTAAATTTCTGAATATTAAGAGAAGGTAGTGGAATAGAGAAAAGTTTCAAATCAAAAGAATTTTAATTTATTTTAGAGAGTGGAATTCACTATACCAACCTAAATCACTCTTAATACTCAATCTTCCTAAGAATGTTGGGATACTAAAGATCCAATATTTTTACCATAAGATTCTGATGAAGAAATGTTGGATAAAAATAGTGTTCAGAGATTGGAATCAATGTTGAATTAAATTCAACACAAATTACCATAATTTGAGCAAAGTACACTTAAATTACCATTAAAATGGAATGAAAATAATTAGATAAATCCATACTTTCCAAAACCCCCTCCAGGAATTTGAATGTAATTATTTTAAATAAAATCAATAAAAAAAATTTCATGAAATTTGTAATCGATGATCTTGAAGTCATTTTCCCATACAAATTTCTATATAAAGAATAATTAGAATATATGTAGGCACTAAAATAAACTCTAGATGAAAAA